AGCTGCGGCGGGCCGTGTCCGACCTCGGCTCCGACAAGGCCGACGCCCACTTCGCGGCGCTCCGCGAGGGCGTCGCCGTCTTCAAGCTCGACCCGGAGAGCCTCAAGTACCTCGTCCTCCAGCCGGACGGGCCGCTCGCGGGCCTCGACCGCGCCGCGGTCGTCGACGTCCTCTCGCGGCGCACGGACGCGTGGACCTACCGCGGGCGCCGGGCCGCCTGGGTCGACGAGCTGGCGGCGTCGTTTTAATGGAGGGAGGTGTGGTGGTCTGGAGGTGCGGGGAGGCGCTGGAATTGCCCCGTCCTCCAGCCCGACGGGCCGCTCGCGGGCCTCGACCGCGCCGCGGTCGTCGACGTGCTCTCGCGGCGCACGGACGCGTGGACCTACGGCGGGCGGCGGGCGGCCTGGGTCGACGAGCTGGCGGCGTCGTTTTAATGGAGGGAGGTGTGGTCTGGAGGTGTGGACTGTGGGGAGGGCCGGAATCGCCACAACCACACAGTCAAAGCGATTGCGGCGAGGCAAGAGCGACGACCACCAGCGGGCGATGACCGAGCCTTGGGTCCGTCTTAGGCGCGCGCATCGTCGTTTGATTGAAGCGGAGTTGAGGCCGAAGTTCGAAGAGACACCTTACGAAGAACTCCACCGCCTATATTGCCAAAAAAACTATGAACACCGTGAGCTCGTCGCTTCTGTGCTCCGAGAACGATACCAAACTCAGCGAGCTGAGGCCTTGGAAAAAGTCGCTCTCTCTCGCGCGTCGCGATCGTCTGTCGTCGCAGGAGCGTGCAAAGAATATAGACTGACCTTGCTGTCTGTCTCTCTCTCTCTATCTCTATATCTCCATGACTATACTGTAGTACAGTACGCTACACTACCACTACCCTACTACCATCATGCTAGTACTGTACCTACCCTAGTTAGGCTCTCCTTCCCGTTCCCCCTCCTTTATAATCAGTTACTATCATATGACTGCGCTACCGTAAGGTAGCACACTGAGCTTCCCCTCTCACCCACTGTGCCTATCCTGCTACTACGGACTGTACCTTAACGTCAAGTTGATGTACGGGACTTAGTTTCTTTACAGGTTATGGCGCGGGTGCGTCGTTAGACGTACCCTTCCCACTTGTGCGAGAGACTGCTCTTGTTTGTGTGTGTGCCAAGAGGTGCTTGTCACACCTGTCCTTAATTGTGAGCCTGGTGCACATTCACACATAAAAATACCCGTCAGCTATGGCTGACACCGAAGAACAACTCGATAACATATATGGCGACGATAAAGTCCGAACAAAGTCGTTTGTCGACTCCCAACTTAACACTTTCCTTGATGCGAGGCGTTGACGGTGATGGACCAGGACGGCAATACGGTTCCCGCCCCCGATTTTTACGAATACCTCCGCCAATACTTTGGCGAGCTTTGCGCTGTGATCCGCGCGCTCGCGGAGCACCTTGATGGAATCGATTACGTCGGCGAGGAGTCTGACGACCTGTGGGAGGAGTTCAACTACGCGCGAGAGGCCCTCGAAGAGCGCGGTCACTTCAACCCGATGCCATGGCCGCTGAAGCGCCTGTTCGGTAATATGGTCCCGCCGGTTGAGATCATCTTAGCGCAAGAGGCCCGGAATCGTGAACGCGAGGTCGGACTCGCGCGCATGGTCTGGTCGCGGCGCATTAGCGCGGCGGATCCGCTCAACATCGTCATCAGTTTTCTCGGCGGCAGGGTCGGCGCGGAGCAGGCTCCGTTTTTGCCCAGCGACGAGCTTCCAGAGGCCATGCGCCGCGTCGTGGATTCTTACAACTCCGACGATAACAACGAATTCTATTGGGACGCGGACGTGTACATCTACTGCGCCGAGCGGGATCAGATTCCGGTATGGAGCTGCGATGTCCCCGTCGGCGACCAGGCGCACGGATACTTTTCGGATCCAACCAGACACTTGAAATGGAGCGCGAACTGGGAGGGCGAGACGGAGAGCGACACCGAAGACGAGAAATGGGAGGACACCGATTCCGTCGACTGGTCCTCCTCCGATTCCGAGGAGTACTTCTCCGCCTCCAGCGAGGACGAGGGCGAGTAACTAGTCTGTGCCCCGCGAGACGCGAGCCCGCGCGAGATTAGCGGGTGTGAGTGCGATCCTACGAAGTACCTCGTCCTCCAGCCCGACGGGCCGCTCGCGGGCCTCGACCGCGTCGCGGTCGTCGACGTGCTCTCGCGGCGCACGGACGCGTGGACCTACCGCGGGCGCCGGGCGGCCTGGGTCGACGAGCTGGCGGCGTCGTTTTAATGGAGGGGGTGCGGTGGTCTGGCGGTGCGGGGAGGCGCTGGAATTGCCCCGTCCTCCAGCCCGACGGGCCGCTCGCGGGCCTCGACCGCGCCGCGGTCGTCGACGTGCTCTCGCGGCGCACGGACGCGTGGACCTACCGCGGGCGGCGGGTGTGAGCGGGCGTAGTACCGCGTCCATATACCGAAGGTCTATAATACAGGGCGCGGGGGATCAGGCAGGCAACGGAGCGGGGCTCGACGACGAGGCGCGCGCGCCGCGGCGTTCTCCGAGGAGGAGACGCGGCGACGACGCGGGCGGTCGGAGCGACGCTCGGCGGGTGGGGGCGGGGTGGTGACGTTCGGTGCACGAAGGGTGGAGGACCTCGTCGGGGGGACGCGGGCCTCGGCGGGCGGGGGTCGGTGAGACCTCGCGCGCCCGCGTGCTTGAGCTTGCTTGGTGGACGCCTCAGGCCTCGGCCTCGTCCGCGGCGATCGTTGGCATGCTCTCGCGGCGGTGCTGGCGCGCGGCGACGACGCGCTTGCGGACGAGGAAGAGGACGGCCGCGAGGAGGAGGACGGCCGCGACCCGCGGCAGAGCTCGGGCCGCTCCGCGAGGTACGCCGACGGCACCTCGGAGCACTCCCAGACGCCCGCGAGACAAGTAAGCGAGCCCGCGAGACAAGATTAGCGGGTGCCTAGGCCTCCTCGCGCCGCTTGCGGAGCGCGGCGACGAGGGAGCCGAGGGCCTTGAGGACGTCGGCGGTCGCGAGCGGCGACCGCGCGGCGGCGGCGGCCGCGTCGTCGGCCGCGCCGTGGCGCTGCGCGTCCGCGACGAGCGCGAGGAGGTCCGCCGTGTCGTCGACGCCGAGCGTCGCGGCCCGGCGCTTCTTGCGGAGCTTCTTCGCGGCCCGGTCCGCGTCGCGGATGCAGCCGAGGATGTCCTTGGTGTCGAGGAAGACGCGCTTCATGCGGACCCAGCAGCCCCACTTCTCGAAGTGGCGCAGGAACACCGCGAGGCCCGGGCTCGCCTCGAGGAAGTCGAGGAACTCGAAGGCGTCGAGGGCGTGGAGCTGCGTCGTGCGCGTGGCCACCGCCGCGTAGTCGCGGAGCACGGGCTTCCGGTCGCCCGACGCGAGCATCGCGATGTCGTCGCCGAAGAAGTCCTTCTCCTGCTTCAGCGAGATGCCGAAGGTGCTCGTTTTGTCGTAGTTCATGCAGATGACCTTGCCGCTGTCGACGACGTACATGACCGTGTTGAGGTCGATGCCCTGGTGGATGACCGTGTCGAAGGGCATGTAGAGCTGCGCGACCAACAGCCGCGCGACGGACGCGACGAACGCGTCGACCTGGAAGCCCAGCTTGCCCTGGCCCGGCTTCTCGTCGTGGACGATGCGGTCGTGCTTGACGTCGCGCTCGACGCGGCCGCTGTCGTCGTACTTGACGTCGTAGCGGAGCAGCGCGGGCGACGACAGGACGACCGCGGCCTTGTACGTCGCGGGCAGGCCCAGATCGTGGAAGATCTTCACGCGCACGCGGCTCCCGCGCTTCAGGCCCGCCTGGCTGTGGATCGTGTAGGCCGTGAAGGGCATGCGCGTCACCGTGCGGCCCAGGTTCTGTTTCGCGACGATGAGCTGGAGCGACGGCGACAGCTTCGAGAGCATCTCCTTGTTGAAGTGGTCGCGGTACACGGGCTCGCTGAGCAGGATGTACTCGCGGAGCCGCAGCCGCAGCGCATCCGGAAAGCCCGTCTTCTTGCGCATGTAGTCGTTCAAGTTGTCGAGCGTCTGCTTGAACTCGTTCGTCACGGGGTCGAGGTTCGACATGATGTTCGACATGTCGCCGACGAGGAACGCGAGGATGATGACGCCGACGAGCATGATGATCATCCCCAGGACGCACTCCGCGTGCGTGCGGGCGTCGGCCTCGCCGTTCAAGGCGATGAGCGCCCAGATGCAGGCCTCGACGTAGATGGCCCAGACGCCCTCGCCCCAGTTGCCCGTCGACGTGAGCACGGTCTCCGGGCAGCGCGAGTCCTGGTCCGCGGAGTAGCGGCACTCCTTGAGGTTGTAGTCCGTGACCATGCGCAGGCCGCAGGCGGACCAGTGGATGAGCACGAGCATCATGACGCAGTACTTGATGATCGTCTGGAACTTCGTCGACATGTCGATGTGCCGCGAGACGCGCGCGACGAGCTTCTCCGACTTCAAGACCTTGACGAGCTTGAAGAGGCGCATGAGGCGCAGGAGGCGGATGAGCGACGCCTCCGAGCCGGCGAAGTACTCGATGGGGACGATCGTGCCCGCGTCGAGGACGAACCACGACCGGAGGTAGCATCCGGCGATCTCCGAGTGGCTCATGATCCAGCGGTGCTGCTGCTCGTCGTGGATCGCCGTGAGGAAGTTGAAGACGACGTCGATGACGAAGCCCAGGTTCACGAACCAGTTGGCGATGAGCAGGCCCGTGTGCTGGTTCGGCTCGAAGGGGCTGAGCGACTTGAACGACGCGTTGAAGCCGACGCTGTTGATGAACGCGAGCTCGAAGGGCGTCACGAGCATGACGAAGACGATGAGGAACATGGTGAAGATGTCCCAGTTGAGGCGCCAGTCCTCGAGGGGGTTCATGATCAGCCGCGACGACGCCATGTGGCGCGGGAAGACGTTGACGCGGAACTCCTCGCCGCGTCGTCGTCGTCGTCGCTGTCGTCGTCGTTGGCGGCCTCGAGCTCCTCCAGGGACTTGCGGGACGTGTCCTGCTTCGTCAGGAACTTGGGCTTGAGGCGGCTGCTGACCATGCCCGTGACGCTCTCCAACAGGCCCGGCTCGTCCGGGCTTTTCGCCGCCGCGCGCGCGGACGACACGTGCTTCATGAGGCCCCGCCGGGCGCCGCCGAAGAAGTTCTCGTCGGGCGACGACGCGCTTCCTCCAACGCCCGGAAGCTCGTGTCCTCGCCGCCCCAGGTCACGGCCGCGACTTCGTCGTCGTCGTCGTCGTCGTGCTCGTAAACGTGCGCGTGTGAGAGGCCCGCGGCGGGGAGCGGCGCCGGCGCGGGGATGGTCTCCTTGGACGAGGCGCGCGCCAGGGCCCGCCGGGCGAAGACGTCGTCCGACGATTTCCGAGACGACTCGCCGTCGCTCCCGCTCTGGTGCTCGGGCCCGCAGAGGTTCCCGCTGCTGTCGCCGAAGAAGTATCCTGACATCGTGCGACGGGCGGCGGCGGCCGAGGGCTTGACGTGCGCGGGGGCGTCGCGGCCTGGACGCTTTCGCGATCGGGGAACGGCGCGCCGAGATTGGCTGTTACGATCGAGCGAGCCGCAAGTCGGCGTGGCCACGCGTGGGCGCTCGAGTTTCACGCCTAGTTTCGGTCCGTCAGGCCACCCGCCTGCGGACCCCCGGCCAAGCGCGCGCGCTCTTGAACCGCTCTCCGAGCGGGGCAAGGTCGACCCGCAGGCGGGTGCGTCGAGGCCTCCCGACCGCGTCCCGACGCCCTAGGCCTCGCCCTTTACGGGTAAACGAAGCGAAGCGATTACACTAGAGGAAGATGCGCATGGTCGTCACGACGGGCCCCCGGCACACCGGGCAGGGGTCCCCCGCGGCGACGCCGAAGGCCGCCACGCACGCGGCGCAGACGACGTGGCCGCACGGGACGAGCGCCGTGTCTCGTCGTCGCTCGAGGCAGAGCGGGCACTCGTCCGTCGCGGCGCTCGCCGGCGGCTTCGGCGGCGTCTCCGGCGCGGGCTCCGGCGCGGCCGGGGGCGCGACGGGCGGCTCCGGCGCGGCCGCGGTCGCGGCGCGGCGTCGTCGTCGTCGACGTCCGGCGGCGGCGCCGCGGCCGCCGCTTTGCCGTCCTCCGCTTTGTCGTCCGGCCCGCGGGCGCGTCCTCCGCCGCGACGGCCTCCGCGACGTCCCGATGGCCCTTCTTCTTCTTTTTCTTCTTCTTCTTCTTCTTCGACGGCGGCGTCGCCTCCTCGTCGAGCTGCTCGAGGAGCTCCGCCGCGGCGCGGTTCGCCCTGGCCTCCGCCGCGGCGATGTCCGCGGGCGACGGCTCGGCCCGCTTCTCGCGCATGTCGAGCTTGTGCCGCCGCGCCTTGGCGTCCTCGTAGAGCGCGACGATCTTCGACTGCAGAATCTTCGAACACGTCAACGCGGACCGGAGCGTCTTCGAGAACTTCTCGACCTGGTCGGGCCGCAGGTTGCGCCCCCGCAGGTCGCTCTTCACGTAGCTCTCGAGCGTCTCGCCGCAGACGGCCTCGGCGACCGCGTCGACGCCCGCCGGGTCCTCCGCGAGCTTGATCAGGAGCGCGACGGCGACGAGCCGCGTGCACCGGCGCTGCGAGACGACGAGCGCCACGCAGGCCCGCGGCGCCGCGGGCCCCCGCGCCAGCGCCGCGAGGATGCGCGTCGCCTCCGCGTCCTCCGCGCGGCGGAAGAGCCGCGCGCCCAGCAGGTGCGCCGCGACGTCGCGCGCCTCGACGACGTCGCCGTTCTCCCGCAGGTGCCTCAGACACTCGTGCTGGCGGTCCACGTCGTCGAAGCCCAGGTGCCCGAAGTCGCCGAGCAGGGGCGTCCGGTCCTCGAGCAGGTCGCCGAGCGCCGCGAACCCGTCCGACGGGAGCAGCGGGTCGTCGCCCGGGTGGACCTGGGCAGCACAAGGGTGATTCAAGTTCGCTTCAACGTGAGTGTGCCGCGTGCGCGCGTTCCAGAAAAAGCATCCACGCTGCGAGACCGTTCCGAGAGATGATCGCTCGTCCAAAAATCAGCCGAAACGAGTGGAAAACGGCCGAGATAGGAGCCTTTGACGTTGGGAATTTCGCTCTCTTGTGCTGCCCCGGGGTGGACGGCCGCGATCGCGCAGAGCGCCTCCAGCGCCTCGTCGAGCACGAAGGACAGGCTCCGCACCAGCACCGCCGCGAGGCAGGACCACTTCGTGCAGAGATAAAAGGGCAGCGCGTCGCCCGACGCGTCCGCCTTGGCCAAATCGCGCAGCGCGCGGCACAACGCGCGCGCGACGTCCGGCGGCGGCGCGGCCAGCAGCTTGTCGCGGATCGTGAGCACGACGCGCTTCAGCAGCACCCGCGGCACGAGGTCCGCCTCGAGCCTCGCCACGGGCGCGGCGAGCCGGCCGAACGCGTCGAGCAGGCGGACGACGCACGCCGGGGGCGTCGCGGCGTCGTGGAGCGCGTCCGCGAGCGCGTCGCCGGCGCCGCTCCTCAGCGCGGCGTCGGCGTCGCCCTTGAGGACGTGCTCCTCGCAGCAGCAGCAGAGCGCGTTCACGGCGGGCAGCACCTCGCCGCCCATGCCGCCGACGAGCTCGCCCGCCGCGCCGGGCAGCGCCGCGGTCGCCGAGAGCACGACCGCGCAGCGCCAGGGGTCGCCGACGGCGCTGAGGGCGGCGTCGAGGCGCCGCGCCGCGGGCCGGTCCGCGCCCTCGACGTCGCGGTCCCAGTCGAGGATGACGAGCCGCGGCGCCGGCGACCGCGCGTTCGCCGCGCCCTGCGCGACGAGCTCCCGCGCGACGGCGACGGCCCCGTCGCCGTCGGCCTCGGCGACGGTCGCCAGGGCGCGGAGGGCGTGAACCTTCGCGTCGACCTCGCGCGCGGTGTCCGGCGCGACGGCGTCGAAGCCGCCCTTGGGCGAGAAGCGCCGCGTCTCGCGCGGGTCGTCCGCGTTGCGCCGCCGCATGGGCGCCCGCGGCGCGAGCAGCGCGCCGAGCGCGGGCACGGCGTCCTGCGCCAGGAAGAGGGACGGCCGCGCGGCCGCGTGGCGCGCCGCGAGGACCGCGAGCGCCTGCGCCGCGAGCGCCCGGAGCGGGCCGAGCGGCCGCTCGCGGGGCGCGCGCGCGCACAGGGCCATGGCGTGGACGTACTCCGCCAGGGCGTCGGCGGGGACGTCGGCGCCGGCGACGAGCGCGTCGCGGCCCAGCGCGACGGCGTCGACGATGGCCTCGCGCGGCTCGACGGTCCGCGCGTCGTACGGAGCCAGCGACCCGAACGCGAGCGCGCCGCCGTCGCCCAGGTAGAAGTTGCGCCGCAGGAGGTCCAGGAGCAGGCCCTTGCGCAGGATCGCCGCGCCGTCGACGGGCCGCCCCGCCCGGGCGCAGCTCAGGCAGCACCGCGCGGCGGCCAATTGGCAGGGAGAGCACCTGTGTGGAAATCAACCAGTGGAACGCCCTGTCCAGCAAAAACCTCTCTAGCTCGATCAAATCGAAGTCGATTTGGCTGATTTTTGGACGAATCGATTGCTCTCGTCGAGTTCTCGAAGCACCGCCAAAGACCGTGCGTCGAAACTGTCGCATAAGCACACATTGAAGTAGGGTTGAAGATTTGAGTTCCACACGGGCGAGCACGCGTCGTCGCCGAGCACGCCGACGAGCGCGCGGCCCACGTCCTCGGTCACGAGGCGCGCGGCGCCGGCGACGCGGGCGACGACGGCGGCCCGCAGGCGCCGCATGGCCAGGGCCCGGTGGCCCCGGCCGTCGACGACGTCCGTCGCGATCTCCCGCCCGTAGCGGCGGAGCGCGCGATCGACGGCGTCGGCCGTCGCGCGCGCGACGAAGCGCCTCGCGCCCGCGCACGTGCGCCCGAGCGCGACGGCGGCGAAGACCTCCTGGCAGGCCTCGTCGGCGTCGTCGCCGCCCTCGGACCCGGCGAAGGGATCCTCGCGGGGCCGCAGGCACCGCAGGAGGCAGGCGCTGAGCTCCAGCCCCTGGACCTGGGCGTGGGCCTCGCCCTGCGGGGACGCCAGCGCGAAGAGGCGCTGCATGTCTTTTCGAGCTGTTATTGCGCCCCGGAAATGCTACCGACGGCTGGGCCGCTGCCCCATCGAGGACATTGCTGCCCCCATCGCCGGCTCGTTCGGCTAGGTGCATACCGGGTGCAGTCACGGTGAAGCTTGCGAAAGCGATTGGAGGCTGCGCCGGGCCAGTGGCCTCGCCCTGCGCCGCCGACGCGATTGGAGGCTGCGCCGGGCCAGTGGCCTCGCCGTGCCCCTGCGTCGACGATGGACCGCAACACGTACGCCTTCGGGGACGACGCGGGGAACCTCGCGGCGCGCGCGCGGGAGATCGGGCTCCAGCACCGCGCGGCGCTCCTGCGCGAGAGCGGCGACCGCCACAGCTACGCCGCGGGCATGCTGGGCTCGACGAAGCTGCAGCTCGCCGTGCTCGCCAGCTTCGACCCGGACTACGACCACGACGACGAGCCGCGGAAGCCGCGGCGCGCGTCCGCCAACGACGCGGCCGGCTTCCGGCCGCTCGAGCGCGTGCCGTCGTGGCTCGCGGAGGTCGAGGAGCGGCGCCAGCAGCGGAGCGAGCACGGGTCGCTCGAGAGCCTGCGGGGCGGCTTCACGCTGAACCAGGCGTTCCTCGCCGTCATCAAGAGCGCCGTGGGCCCCGCGGTGCTCTACATGCCCAAGGGCTTCCAGGAGGGCGGCCTCTGCTTCAGCCTCGGCATGCTCGTCTTATCGTTCGCGCTCTTCTCCCTCGGCGCGACGCGGCTCCTCGAGGCCTGGGAGGGCTGCCGCAAGAGCTACGCGGCGATGATGGGTCTCGCGTTCGGCCACAAAGGCGTCCTGGTCGTGCGCTTCACCATCGTCGCGCAGCAGTGCGGCATCTGCCTCACGTACTTCATCTTCGTCGCGACGAATCTCCGGGAGCTCGTCATGTACGCCTGCCCGTCCTTCGCCGCGCCGTCGCTGGCCCAGTGCTGCCTGCTCCAGGTGCTCGCCTACGCGCCGCTGTCGTGCATCCGGAACATGCAGAACTTCGCGCTGACGAACTTAGTCGCGAACGCGCTCATCTTGTACTCGCTGGTCGTGCTCGCCGTCTACGGCACCATCGAGGTCGTCGAGCACCAGCCGCCTCTCGCGTCGCTGTCGCTCTTCAACAAGCAGTCCTTCTACCTCTTCGTGGGCACGTCGGCGTTCGTCTACGAGGGCTCCGCGGCGCTCGTCGTCCCGCTGCAGGAGGCCGTGCGCAAGGACCTCCAGCCCCAGTTCTCGACGCTCTACGTGCGGACCTGCGGCATGATCATCGTGACCTACATCGTCTTCGGCGCGCTGAACTGGGCGGCCTACGGGAACTGGACCGAGACGGTGCTCACGGTGAACCTGCACCCGTCGCCGTGGAAGGCGTCCGTGCAGCTCGCGTACTCGCTCGCCGTCGTCTTCACCTTCCCGCTCCAGCTCTTCCCGGCGATCCAGATTTTGAAGTCCGTCGGCCGCAAGTGGAAGCGCGCGCGCGCGCGCTGCGGGTCGCCGCGCGGCTACGCGACGGTCGACAACCCGCTCGCGACGACGGCGCCCGGCGGCGAGCCGCGGCCGGCGGACGAGGCGCCGTCGCGGCCCCGGCGGCCGACCATGGACGCCGTGCCGGAGATCGAGTCGTCGCCCGAGTCGCCCGACGGGCCGCCGCGCCGCGGCGACGGCAAGCCGCCGCGGCCGAGGACGACGAAGCTCGAGGGCAACGTCGCGCGCTTCGCGCTCGTCGTCGCCCTCTGCCTCGTCGCCATCGTCAACGTCCACTCCCTCGACAAGCTCGTCGCCCTCATCGGCGGGCTCCTCGGCATCCCGCTCGCGTTCATCTACCCGCTCGCCATCCACCTCAAGCTCGTCCCGGACGCGGACGACGGCGTCAAGCTCCTGAACCGGTGCGCGATCACGTGCGGCGCGCTCCTCTGCCTCGCCTGCACGGGCGTCACCGTCGCGACCTGGTAACCGTGCTGCGAGTCGAGCGAACGCGAGCGTTTGTGACGCACGGATTCGCGAGCCTTGAGCTCGCGCGCGGCCGTTCGCGCGTCCCCCGGGCGCCACCAAACAAATCCCGCCGTTCTTACGCGTTGGGAGTCTCACGGGCGCGTCTTCCGACCGCGGCGCTGAACGTCGCCCGACGCGCGCCCGGCCCTCGCGCCGCGCGCGGCCGGACGCGCCGCGCCGCGAAGCGCCGCCTAGCACGGCGGCTTCTGCTTCTGTCGCGGGAGGTTGGCGATGTAGCGCTTGTAGGACTCCCGTTTTCCCTGCGCGGGGCGTCGCGTCGCGTGGCGGCGGCGGGGTGGCGCGCGCGCGGGCGGCGCACCTCGTCGATCTGGAAGTCGAGCGTCGCCTTGATGTCCAGCGAGTGGCCGGGCTTCCGCAGCATCTCCCGGATGTTGTCCTCCGCTTCCCGCGACGCCTCCGTGGGGACGTACTCCTGCTTCGCCCGGACCTTCTTCGGCGGGCCCTCCCACTTGCGGAGTTTCACAGGTTCGGCCATCGGAAATGCTCCAAGGCCACCCCGAGGCTGAGGTTTGCATCTCGGGGCTGCATCGCGGCGGCTGCCCCGCACCACGCAATCTATCCAATCGTGTTTGGGTGGATCCCGGTCGCGGCCCGCCTTTCTGGGCTCGATGTTGAACCTCACTTACGCTCATCTTTGCGCTGGGGCATTATTCAGTACAATGAGGTCCCGGCCGAGTATGAATTATTGCTAGTTGAAAACTATACCAATGCTCTTTAACTTTGGCCTCGTGCCGGTTAAGAATTTCTGACTTGGGTGCTTGCACCCACCCTCCATAAAAATCACATTCACATCATCTTCCACCACCACTCATAACCTAATGTTGAGACGTCAATGTTAACGTCGACGTCGACGTCGGTCGACGGTGCTCACGTCGACGTCGACGTTGAAGTCGACGTCGGTCGACGGTGCTCACGTCGACGTCGACGTCGACGTCGACGGTGCTCACGTCGACGTCGACGTCGACGGTGCTCACGTCGACGTCGACGTCGGTGCTCACGTCGACGTCGACGTCGGTGCTCACGTCGACGTCGACGTCGGTGCTCACGTCTCTAGCTCACGTCGACGTCGACGTCGGTGCTAATTTTAAATGTCCGGCGCCGCCCCCTGGACGACGGTGATGGCGAGGTTGTCGTCCATCCACAGGCCGTTGGGCGCGCGGCCCTCGGTCCGCGCGGACGTCGCGCCGAAGGGGTTCGGCTTCGCGGGCACGAGCGCCGTCACGTTGCCGTTGCCCGTGTCCAGCGCGATGTCCTGGAGCGTCTCGAAGTCCAACGCGGCCTCGTGGAGCGAGTAGGCCGTGATCGCCAACACGGCGGGCGTGTACAGCAGCCGCGCGATGGTCCGCTTCCACTGCGCGTGGCCGTAGAGCGCCGCATGAAACGCGAAGACGACGTCGGGCCCTTTAAAGCGCGGCGCCGCGGCCTCCAGAAAATCGGGGTAGAGCGTCTTCGCGTAGGCGATGGCCAAGGAATCCTCCTCGTGGAGCGTGCCGTGGAGCGCCTCCGGCGTCCCCGGCCCCACCAGCGCGAGCGCCGCGCCGTCGAAGCCGCGGCGCTTCGCGGCGTCGACCAGCGGCGCGAAGACGCGCGCGGTCTCCTCCGGGGTCTGGCCCTCGCGCTTCGCGGCGCCGACGACGTGCACGACCAGATAGCGGCCGTGGCCGCCGCGGGCGATCTGCGCCACGAGCGACCCGCGCTGGCCGCCGTCGTTCACGTAACGATCCGCGACCATGGCCGCCGTCCTCCCAAAGGTCGACGCCTTCGTCTCCTCCGGCGCCTCGTCGGTCCAGCCCGAGTCGTAGGCGCCGAGCGCGCCGCCGTCGTCCGGGCCGAGGAACTCCGCGCGCCCGCAGTCGCGCCACCACGCGGAGAACGCGGCGAAGACGCACGCCGGCCGGTCGCAGAACCGCGCGGCCTCGTCGCCGACGCCGAGCTCGCCCTTGGGCTGCAGCTGCGGCGGCAGCATGCACTCGACGAAGAAGCGCATGGCCTGGCGCTCGGCGTCGCTGGCGAGCTTGCGCCAGCGCATGCCGCCGTGGTCGGCGTCGCCGGAGCAGACGCAGGGGCCCTTGGACGGCCTGGCGCCGGCGGGGACCAGCGGGATGGCGTCCTTCATGAAGGCCGGGTCCATCATCGACGGGCGCCGAGGGCTGAGCGGCTCGAGCTTGGCCAGCGGCTCGAGCTTTCTGGCCCGGTCCATAGCTTTATTGCCACAGAGCTCGAGCTTGCCGTAGTTGATACGTCGTGTGGCTGGCAGGCCTAAATCACAACGCCAAACCTTCTGAAGAGTCGGCGTCGCAGACTCTTGCCGCACGACCTATCAACAACGGCAAGTCCGCTCATACTTGCGATCGCAAAAACGGCATTGCTTCGGCCGCTCCGTCTTCAACGAGAAGTTGCCCCGAAGCAAACGATGGCCCGTCCTCCGAGAGACGTCGTGGGCCGGCCGATCCCGCGCCCGGAGCAGGGCTCCGACGACGACGAGGCGGCCTTCAGCTCGCGCCTCTTCACCATCGCCCAGCCCAGCGATCCGAACGCGTCCCAGTCGCTCCAGGGCTTATTTTGCTCCACGGTGGGCTGCAAGGACGACGACTCGTCGTCCGAGGACGGCGACTTGAACTTCGCCTTCTGTAGCATGATGGGCGAGGACGACGCGGCCCGCCACCTCGAGTACGCCCTCCTGGTCCCCGCGGCGCGGAGCCCGAGCAAGTGGCCGATCCTGCTCTGGATCCACGGCGGCGACTTCGAGACGCGCGGCGCGCTCGCGCCCGTCGCGCTGCCGGCGGTCATCCTCGATGCGCTCCGGTGCGGCGAGCTCGCCGTCGCCTTGCTCACGCACCGCCTCGCCGACGACGCGGACGGCGAGTGGCCCGCGCCGTGGGACGATCTGCCGGGCCCGGCGTCCCGCGACCGCGACGACGGTCGATGTCGACCGGGGAAACGACGCACCGTCGTAGGCTGGACCAGATCGAGCACGTGCGCAGCGTCTCCGCGACCTACAACTGCGACCCGGACCGGCTCGTCGCCGCGGGCCCCGGGTCCGGCGCAGGGCAGGAAAAGAGAGCGAAATTCCCAACTTCAAAGGCTCCTATCTCGGCAGTCTCCCACTCGTTTCGGCTGATTTTTGGACGAGCGATCATCTCTTGGAACGGTCTCGAAGCGTGGATGCTTTCTCCGGAACGCGCGCGCGCGAAACACTCACGTTGAAGCGAACTTGAATCTCTCTTTTCCTGCCCAGGTCCGGCGGCTACCTCGCGGCGCTGCTCGCGACGCGCGGCGCGGGCGAGGGCGTGCCCGTCGTCGCCGCGGCGGCCTTCGGCGCGCCGGCGAGCTTCGCGCACCTCGGGAGCGACCGCGGCGAGTCGGCGCCGGACCGGCGCTGGTTCTGGGAGGCGGGCGTGAGGCACGGGCCCGAGTCGCGGCTCATGGGCTTCGACGTGTCCGACCCGGCGAACGCGCACAAGCTCGGGACCGCGTCGCCCCACTTCTACGCGCGGTCCGCGGCGCCCCTCTTCCTCGCCCACGGCGACCTCGACCGCGCCGCGCCGCCGGCCCAGGCCCTGCGCCTCTACCACGCGCTCTGCGACGCGGGCCGGACCGCGGAGCTCCGCCTCGTGCCCAACGTCGGCCGGGACACGTCCATCGACCTCAGCGACATGCCCATGGAGGAGGGGCTCGACTTCCTCCGCGAGCAGCTCGGCATCCCGCCCCTCTACCGGCGGTAAGCGGCGAGCAAAGGCCTCCGAGTCCGAGTCGCGGCAGCGAAAAAAGGGAAACGAGCCGGCGTTGTTGAGCCGTTGACGGTGTCCGAAACACGGGCAGCCAACGATGATCGAGTCGTAGCCGACAGACCATGCCGGCGCCGCCCGTGCGCTTCAAGAAGCGGCCGAGGAAGAAGGAGCAGGTCGTGCCCGTCGAGGAGGAGGAGGAGGAGGAGGTCGACGAGGACGCCCTCGACGACGCCGCGGCGGCGCGGGAGGCGGCGGAGGACGAGGAGGACGAGGAGGACAAGGAGCGCGTCTGCTTCGGCGCCGTGACGCTCAACGAGGCCCAGGCCGAGAGCGGCTGGTGGGGCCGCGTCCACGCGCGGCTCGAGAGCAACGCGGCGCTCGCGGTGATCCTCACGCTCACGTTCTTCGACATGGGCGTGTCCGTCGCCGGGATCCTGAAAGCGCTCGACACGACACGACAGATCTGGGTCGTCTGCAGCCGCGGCGCGTCGCTCGTCTTCTTCGTCGAATGCTACCTGCACCTCCGGTCGCACGCGGTCGTCTACAGCTTCTGCTCCTTCTTCGGCGACCGCTTCAACTGCGTCGACGTGGCCGTCGTCGCCCTGGATGTGTTTACCTTGAGTTTGGAATACGGCAGCCGCGGCGGCGCGGGCGGCTTCGCGGGCGTCGCGTCGTTCTTCCGGGCCGCGCGCGCGCTGCGGCTGCTGCGGCTGCTGCGGCTGCTGCGCGTCGCGCGCGCCGCGCGCGCTTTGAAGCGGCGCAAGCCCCTGGAGGACCTGGATCCCCTGGCGCTCGCGGAGGAGGGCGACGAGGACTTCGTGCGCTTCTTCGCGCCGAACGTCGCGCCGCGGAAGCGGGATCGCGTGTGGGACCTCGGGCTCCGGCCCGGCGGCGAGAGCGTGCTCTTCGTCGCCGCGAAGCGGGGCCACCACAAGCTCGTGCGCGCCGTCGTGCGGTGCGACTCGCCCCGAGCCAAGGCCGCCGTCGAGGCGCGCGACGGCGTCGAGGGCATGACGCCCCTGTTCGTCGCGGCGCTGCACCACCAGCGGCGCGCGGCGCACGAGCTCGCGGTCTTCGGGCGGGCGGACCTCGCCGCGACGCCGACGATCGGCCCCGACTTCAAGGGCGTCACGGCGCGGGAGCTCGTGGAGCGGCGGGGCTGGGGGCCGACGCTCGACCGCGTCGCGAAGCTCGAGGCGGAGGACGCGGCGCGCGAGCTGGCGGCGCGGATGCGCGAGGCCAAGGCCGCGGCGCGCGCGAGGAAGGCCGCGGCGCGCGAGGCGTCCGCGGCGAAGCGCGCGAAGAAGGCGCGGGTCTACCGCCTCGGGCGGGCCATCTACCACGCGACGGAGAGCCTCGAGCGGGCCGCGCGGTCGCGCGCGTTCTCGGCGTTCCTCGCCGCGTCGTACGACGCGGACGAGCTCGCCATGCGCGGCACGCGCGCGGCGGCCGTGCGCATGCGCAAGGCGGCGCTCGCGAAGAAGCTCGCCGCGGACGCGAGGCTGGCCGCGGGCGACGACCGGCCGACGTCGCGGCAGGAGCGGCGCGTCGCCGCGGACGGCCGCCGCGCGAAGAACGCGCGGCGCTGGGGCGCCCACACGCGGCCCGTGTCGCCCTGGCGCAAGCGGCCGAACACGCGCGAGCGGCTGCTGCGCCTCGTCTACGCGTTGCGCTTCGGGACGTCGATCCACGCGCCGACCGTGGGCCGCCGCTGCGCCGTCGACCAGGCGACGACGGTGCCCGACGTCAAGAACAAGTGGAAGACGAAGCACGACCCGTCCATGCTCGTGCGGCCGACGCCCTGGGCCGAGAAGAAGCGCCAGGACCCGAAGACGGTGCTCGCGATCTCCGTCGACGAGCTCGAGCGGGCCAAGAGCCTCATCGAGCACGGCAACGGCGCCGGCGCGGGGCCCGGCGGCGCGCGCGCGCGGCCGGCCGCGTCGGAGGCGACGTCGGACGTGTGGCAGAACCCGAGGTACGACGTCTTCTTCGAGGACCTCGAGGCGCCGCCGGACCGCGCGCGGACGCCGTCCCGCGCGTTCACGCCGGACCGCGCGTCGCGCGCCGACGACGGCCGCGCGCGGACGCCCATGGCGCGCGCGCGGACGCCGCTGAACCGGCCGATCACCGCGGAGCGGCCGACGACGGCGCAGAGCCGCGTGTCCTTCGCCGACGAGCTCGAGCGGCCGTCGACGCGGGGCTGGGCGGCGTCCTGCGACGACCGGCCGGGCACGGCCCAGTCGGACCTCGCGGACTTCGACCGGCCGTCGACGGCCGCGTCGTCGAACGGCGACCAGCACCCGTCGCCGACGCGGATCCGGTTCACGGACGACGACCGGCAGGCGTCGGCGAAGCGGATGCGCTTCACGGACTTCGACGTCGACTGAGGGTAAGTTGGTGTCGCTCGCGGGTGATCGCATTCCTCGCACTGACGGCGCGCCGATGCCTCCAAGAGGCTTCCAGCCACTCGTTCCTTAGCCGGTTGAGGCCGAACTTGACGCAGTCGTGGCATTTTTCTTCCGTCGATGGCGGCTGTGCCAGCGATGCAGAAGCCAGCAATGCAGAAGCGCCGCGCGCCGGCAATCATGGCCGCCGTGGCATCGGTGGCCGCCGTCGTCGCGTACTGCGTCATGCCTCCGCGCGCATTTCCGGACCGGCTGGCGTTCATA